TCCTTCCCAGTTTTCACAGAATGGCTTTTCCCTTGGAACACAGAAATGAAGGGCTGGGCTCTGATCAGACACATTTGGCAGTGCCCTGATGGTCACTCCCTGCCCCTGAGAGAGCCTCCTCTGATCTCACCATTGGCAGAACTGCAGCCAGGAGAAAACCAGCCCTGCAAAGCCCAGCTCTGTCAATAAGACAAGTCCGTAGAGCTGTGGTGGATGTGCACAGCCCCAGAACCTCCTCCCTGAGGACACTTTGCTGTCAGAGGAGGAGACCAGAGCAGGATGGTCAGTGCTGGCCTGAGCAGCCTGAGGGGTCCAGCAGGGACAACATGGCAGGATATCTCCTTGTTGCAGGACTGGGAGAGTCAGACAAGTCTGGACTGTGACAGTCACTGAGCCCAAGAACATCCCTGTGCACGACATTTGCAATGGCATGTGTGCCATCCCCTCCCCACTGGAGCCAGCAGGAGCTGTCAGCCTGGATAAGGGAGATGTATCCACAGCTTCTGCAGCTGCCATTGCCTTGAATTCAGCCCTCCTGCCTGTTTACACTCCATGGTTCACTTCATTGAATCAACAGTCAAATAAGGATTTTTTTTTTTTTTCATGGGGTCCCAAGTGCTTGGGATGTTATTCTGACTTTCACCTACTGTGGCTTATGAGACACATGTAAAATGCTGATCAAGGGGACCCAAATCCTTTCCTGCTCAGATTGCTTTGGGCACCTGTGTATCCAATCTCTCTGAAAGGTGATTGCAGGTGTTTGTAGCTTCCCTGTCCTTTGCATGCACTTAGCTGGGGCTTTTTGCTATATGAACCAGTCTTTCTCAATGTGCCTGAAGTCCAAAAATGTATTGTTTGCTTCCTTTGTGGTGTCTGTTCCTCCCCTGAAGGTCCTGTTTACTTGTAGCACGAGTTGCTATTTTTGACAGCACAAATGCAAGTGCCCTTCCCATGCCAGGAGCCAAACCCACTTTGACCAAGCCCAACACAGACACAGGTGACAGTGTGGACAATAAAGCCTCTCTGGATCCATAACTGTGGGAGATTATTTGTAATTTCCTTTGTCTCACATCTCTGAACTGCCCTTATGTCCCTGCGGCTCAGTGTGGGAGATCTGGGGACCCACAGGAAGTGCTGTGAGAGCCCTTGGGCTGTCCCAGCTGTGACACTGGTGGGGACACGCAGCCATGAGGTCAAACCAGGGCACCACTTTGGGCCAGGGTGGAGAGGGCTGCTGGACCCCTCTGGCTGCTCAGGCCAGCACTGACCATCCTGCTCTGGTGTCCCCCTCTGACAGCAAAGTGTCCTCAGGGAGGAGGTTCTGGGGCTGTGCACATCCACCACAGCTCTACGGGCTTGTCTTATTGACAGAGCTGGGCTTTGCAGGGCTGGTTTTCTCCTGGCTGCAGTTCTGCCAATGGTGAGATCAGAGGAGGCTCTCTCAGGGGCAGGGASTGACCATCAGGGCACTGCCAAATGTGTCTGATCAGAGCCCAGCCCTTCATTTCTNTGTTCCAAGGGAAAAGCCATTCTGTGAAAACTGGGAAGGACCAGAGTTTGTCCTCCTTCCCAGTTCACAGCTGATATTGGGAACATCATTGGAGGAGAATCAACAGGAAAATGGARGTGGAGCAACATCAGTTTTAAGCCAGCTTCCTTTTCACACTTAGACAGGATGTGGTAACTTCTTTTCCTCTCACCYACTCAATTCTTGTACAAGGCTCAAAGAAACGATACTGAAAGTGTTTTTACATGAGGCTGCAGCAGTTTAACCACTAGGAAAGCAGACTTGTTTGGTTCTCTGCTATTCCTAATTTTCTCTCTCACTCAGCCCCTTTGTTTACCCCAGCTCCTGACCATCCATGCAGCGGGACCAAGGCAGGATCTGAGGACTGGTATATTCTTTGTTCTCTTGCTCCCTTTTCCTCCTTTATTCTTTCTCCGCCTTGCTTTGTCTGTCATGTTCTGCACCATACTCCATTCTGAAGGTTGCTGTGGGAGTGGGAACTTGTGGAAGTGTGTTCTGGCTTGTGAGACTGAACCTTTGAGAAGTTTGCTGTGGGATCTGTGAGTTTACTGATGTGCACTGTAAAAAAATTAATGGCTTTGTGAAAAACAAGGCTCACGCTCCTGATAAAATTTAGAAGATTTTAATAAGTGACAATAGGAGTGGCGAAAGGAGATGACGTTGGGTGCTTGGTGATCTGCCAGAGGCCTGCTATTGACAGGACACATCTTTAAATACATTTCTTATTGCATGAGCTTAATGCCTATTCATAGATATTTATGCATATTCAAACTTTTCCAGGAACTGTTTAGCATGGATCTGCCTTTTTAGAGCATGAGCAGTGCTGATTTTTAGGCCCCTGGGGTCCTGTGCATGTGACCCCTGTTCTGTAGTTTCAGCAGATGGTCTTTGTTGATAGAGAAGTATTTATAACAGGGGTCCCAACACCCCTGACCTTTCCGTGCAGATCAGCCCATCCCAAGGTTGGTGCTCTCACCAGCCAGACTCCTTGTGCCGCAAACGATGGGTGTTTTTACAAGTTCTTCTGATTAGATATTTTTTCCCCAAAGCCTCTGTTCCTTCCAGCCCCACCCTTCCGCTTTCAGNAGGGAAGGGAAGGGAAGGGAAGGGAAGGGAAGGGAAGGGAAGGGGAAAGGACAGACTAGCCTCAGGCCTGAGCCTCCAGCCAAAGGTCTTCTGCCCCATTGTGCCATCACTTGCTGTTCAGCCATTCCAGGAGGCATTCCCAGTTTTCAGCCACTGCCTCCTCGTGCAGTGGGGTGAGTCTGCTCGGTTCATCTCCCTCATAATTCCATGTGCCAGCTGGCGCATACCCTACTCGGTGGGCGGCCATCCAGGCTATCACAAAATCACCCTTTTCAGCAAGTGCTAAGATGTCCTGTGCCATTTTCCCTTTTGTCAAACCGGCATTCCATTAATGTCCCACCCATTCTCTTGCCGAAACGGAAGTCATTCAGTACAGCCCTTGAAGATAGAGAAGGAATCAGTGGAGATGTAGACAGGAGAGGAGGACAGAGTCTCATGCTTAAAAAACGCTCCACACAGCCACTGATTCTCCAGCCTGGGCACTACCTTCACCTTCAGTTATCAGCTGTTACTCAGTGACAGTTCACAGGTGGCTGCCCTATAGTTCCACCCCTTGGCTCCTCGCTTGTCATACATGGACTCTGTTTTTACCAAGAGATGCATGCACAGAGCGGCATTCACTCTGGCCTGTGCCTCCAGGAACTCTCTCTGGGGATAAACAGGGGCTTCCGCCTTGGTTCCTACATCATCTCAGTGTACCTGACTAACTCCTCTCTTACAAGGTCCTGCATGTTCCCATCCTACATTCTTTCATCCTCTAGCCTCCCTTCTAGGCCTGCAATCTAAACTCGAAGAGATCGCGCCAGTCCTCGCAGGGACTTGACTGCCACCATTTCTTGGCTGTGCCACGTTGCCCTTTCTTTCTTAGTGGTAGTTAAAGCAGCCCCTAAAACTGCACCGAAGGCAGCTCAGCCTTTTTCTGGTCTGGATTTCACCCACAGAGCAATGATGAGATCTAAGACATCCCATACCAGCATTATACCAGTGTTCCTGAGCCCACTCCAGACCAGGTACAGAGAGTCAAGCCCAAAATGTTTCTAAAAACTCAAACAGGGCTCAGGACAGGTCACTGCCCATTTATCCTCTCACTGTCACCTCATTGCCATCACTTCTCGATTTTAGGGACCGTTTGGGGAGGGTCCACCTTATCATTACTGAATGCCCCAATGAAGCACTCCCCAGAAAAACAAAATGGATCTCCAATTGTCTTGGTTTAAGGGCACAACACATCCCAAGGGGGGCCAAACCCTAAAGATCCCAGGTGTCTGTTTCTCACCCTCTGCGAGACCACGCCACAAGAACAACCTCAGAACTGCAAAAACAGGCACAACACATCTCAGAGAGAGTCCCACCAGCACTGCAAGTGCCCAGGCTATGGTCTCCAAGAGGACACATGGCCAGGGACAAAGCCAGTTGCTCCAAGAACTTCAGAAAGGGCACAATACATCTCGGAGAGTGTCACACTGTTGCTCCAAGTGCCCAAGGTCCACTCTCCGAGAGTACAGGCTGTCAGTTGCAGGCACAAGGTGTTTCAGGGAGGGTCAGACCTTTACTCTCTCTGTGCCCCTATAAAACTCTGGCTAAAACACACCCTGACTGTGTGTATAATACAGTTTGCCAAAGAAATCCCACTTCTTACAGCATGTTGGAGGTTAGGATTTCTCCTTTTGTTCTCCCCCTTTGGGAATTTTTTTTTTTCCCATTCTATTGCTGAGAAACAATAATGAGCGAGTGGTTAGCCTAATGGCTGGGTGCTTAAGAGAGACAAAAGAAGTTGCCAAGCCCTGGCGGGAGGAGGACTCTTGGGGACACTCCTCCTATCTGAAGGTTTTTCTCTCTGGAGAGCAGAGTTTCCAGGAGAGTTTTGGGCTCCTGGAAAAGGTGTGTGTGTGTGGTGGGGGGTAGCTGCCTCTTCTCGCCCTGCTTGGCTTGTGGGAGAACGGTGGACCTGCTGCCTGTGGGAGAGAGCTGCAAAGCCCAGCGTCCTGCTGTCGGTTCCTGTTTGCTGCACTGTGGCTTTTCTGCTCTCCTGCCTTGCCAGGGCCCCTGTGATTCCAGCTAAGGTGGTCCAGTTCTGACACACCTTGTCTGCAGCGGCAGGATTCTGCTCTTCTTTTTGCCCATCCGGGCGTTCTCAGGTTTCTTGCTATCCAGAGGGAACATTGGGATCGGTGTTTTCCCCTTTGAGTTTGTAGAGGAACATTTTTCCATCCATCCCTGCTGGTTTGTGTCCGCCATTGGCCACTGGGAGATCTGAACCAGCCGGGACCCGCGGCACAGCGCCCCCTGCAGCTGTGGGGGAATCATCGCACCCGCCCTGCCCGGCCGGGAGCCAACAGCGCCCCTGCCGACTGGGACTGGATCTGCACCAAAGGGGAGGCTGTGTCTCTGTAAGGCTGTCACTGGGTTTCGGGCTGGGCTGGTTGTTGCTATTGTTATTGTTACTTGTTTCACCTTGTTATACATATTAGTAAAAACTGTTATTCCCTTTTACCCATATTCTTGCCTGAAAGCCCCGTGATTTTTCAAAGCTATAATAACTCGGAGGAAAGGGTGTCATATCCACCACTCCAAGAGGAGTCCCCACCTTCATTGGCAAACACCTGTCTTTCAAACCAAGACAATCCTCTTAAAATATTTTAGTTTTCTGGTTCTGATGAGTAGTGTAGTCTGCATTTCAAAGGTCAATAAAGTAGAGCCAGTGATCAAATCCCATTGTAATCAGGCTGCTTCCTAATTTGTGTCTCCAGAATAAACGCAATGGACATGAGGACAGATCTGTCATTGTAACCAGCTCTGAGGTATTTACAATATGTAACATAAGGACAAATGTTTTGAGGGAACTTCAACGTGCTCAACAAAAATAAAGGAAATTTCTTGCTTGTATGAAATAAGGCTCTTCCTTTGGATTGTGATTTTTTTCTAAGAAACTTACCATCTTCTCCCTGATATGCTGTGAATTTTCATTTTGATGAGGAGGGACAGGGACACAGCAACTTTGTGGGCACCTACAACCAGCCAAAGTCACCCCATCACACATCTGCACATGGCTTTGGAATCTCTACAAGGACAGAAACTCCACAGCCTCTCTGGAGAGCTCCTTCCTGGCCTTGGTCACCTTCAAAGTACTAAAGTGTTTCCTGACGTTCAGAGGGAAGCTCCTGTGTCTCAGTGTTTGCCATGGCCTCGTGTCCTGTCACTGGCACCTCTGGGAAGAGCCTCCCACAGGTGTTGAGACACCTTGCTGAGATCCCCCCAAGCCTTCTCCTCTCCAGGCTGAACAGTCCCTGCTCTCTCAGCCTTTCCTCCTGGCAGAAGTTCTCCAATCCCTTGATCATCTCTGTGGGCCTTTCCTGCACTCTCTCTGGTTGAACATGAGTCAGCAGTGCCCTGTCAGCCACAAGGGCCAACTGTGTCCGGGGGGGCATCAGGCCCAGCACGGCCGAGCAGTGAGGGAGGGGATTGTCCTGCTCTGCTCTACTCTGGGCTGGTCTCACTTGGAGTGCTGGGGGCAATTTGGGACATCACAGGATCAGAAAGTCATTAAGCTGTTAGAGAGCATCCAAAACACACCACAAGGATGGTGAAGAGTCTGGAGGGGAATCCTTATGAGATGTGGCTTGAGGCACTTGTTCTGTTCAGCCTGGAGATGAGGAGACTGAAGTCAGGCCTCATTGCCATCTTCAACATCCTCCTGAGGGGCAGCTCAGAGGCAGATAACGATCTCTTCACTCTTGTGACCAGTGACAGGGCTCAAGGGAATGGCTGAAGCTGAGACAGGAAAGGTTTAGGCTGGGCATTGGGAGAGCATTTTTCCCCACAGGGTGGTCAGGCGCTGTAACAAGCTCCCCAGGGAAGTGGTCGCACCCCAAGCCTGTCCTTTCAAGAAGTATTTGGACAATGCTCTCAGGCACATGGTGGGATTGCTGGAGTGTTCTGCCCAGGGGCAGGAGCTGGGCTCGATGACCATGATGGGTCCCTTCAGACTTGGCATGTTCTATGAATCCGTGACTCTACACTACATCCGTGTCTCTTCTGTACCAGGGAGCTGAGAACAGCAGGTGTGGCCTCTCCAGTGCTGAGTAGAGTGGATGGATCAAACCTCTTTGTGCCAAGGACAACTTTCTCTCCCATGGGTAACTTGGGGTCCACTAGGGCGGTGATGACTCTTGCTGTAAATCTGCAGCAGAGCCATCCCTGAAAATGGTGTATCAGTCAAGCGTCCCCGGTACGGAGGGGCTTCTGGGCAGGGTCTGTCCACTACTGCAGCCTCTGTGGGGAATAAAGAGGATGAGGCAGAGATCTGGGTGCAGTTTCAGAGCTGGGATCCTGTTGGGATCAGTCACATGAAGCAGTGACTGCACTCCCATGACTGGAGTGTGGCAATGGAGGCACACAGGTTTTGAGGAAGGCCAAGCTGGGAAGACAAGGAGGGGAAGGTTCCTGTCATGTGTGAGATCAGCTGGAGCCCATGGAGCTTCCCTGGGGATGGCTGAGGAGCCACCAGAGAACTCATGGATGAGGATCAAAGGGAGCAGAGCTCCAGGTGACATCAGAATGGGGGTCTGCTCCAGGCCTTGTGAGCAGGGAGAACAAGGGGATGAGGCCTCTACAGACAGACAGGAGCAGCTTCACGTTCACAGGGCCTGCTCCTGGTGGGGGATTTCAACAGCTCCAGTATCTGCTGCAGGGACAACATGGCAGGATATCTCCTTGTTGCAGGACTGGGAGAGTCAGACAAGTCTGGACTGTGAAAGTCACTGAGACCAAGAACATCCCTGTGCATGACATTTGCAATGGCACATGCGCCATCCCCTCCCCACAGGAGCCAGCAGGAGCTGTCAGACTGGACCAAGGAGATGTATCCAGAGCTTCTGCAGCTGCCATTGCCTTAAATTCTGCCCTCCTGCCCGTTTGCACTTCATGTTTCACTTCATTAAATCAACAGTCAAATAGGAAATTATGTTTTGTCTTGAGGTTCCAAGTGTTTGGGATGCTGTTCTTACTGTGTTCTCCTACTGTAGCCTGTGGGACCCATGTAAAATGCTGATCAAGGGGGACCCAAATCCTTTGCTGCTCAGATTGCCTTGTGCGCCTGAATATCCTATTTATCTGTAAGGTGGTTGGAGATGATTGTAGCTCCCTGTCCTTTGCTTGCTCTCAGCTGGAGCTTTTTGGTATATGAGCCAGTATTTCTGGTCATCCCGGAACTCCAAAAATGTTTCATTTGTTTCCTTTGTGGTGTCTGTTCCTCCCCTGAAGGTCCTGTTTAGTTGGAGTGATGCCTGATGATTTTTGCTTTTCCTTTTTATATTTTCTGTACTCTTTATGCATCCCCCTGTACCCTTGGCCTGCATGCTTGTAATTCCTGTAGTTTGATATCCCAGCTTTAGGAGTTCTGCTGGGCAGAGAGACCAAACATCCTCAGGAAGGGCTCAGGGTGCCTTGTGCTGTCTCAAACCTGAGGCTCCAGCCTTGGGTGAGGCCTTCTGTCCAGAACATCTTGTGTAAACTGGGCTCTGGCCTCTTTCGGGCGGTGGGATTCATTAGAATAAGGGGACATTACTGCATTTGTTAAGTTTCTCATTGGGGAATCCTAGATAGATATGCTAAATTGTGAAGTCTATAAATCTATCTGTGCTATACACGGGGGGCCATTTTGCCATCAAGTTGTGTACCTCGGATCCCAAACACCGAGGAAAAACCCTTTTTATCCCCCTAACCGTGTCTCTGTCATTATTGAAACTGGCCAATCAAGGCAACAGTAGCACAGGACACAAGTTGCTATTTCTGTGCAGCACAAATGCAAGTGCCCTTCCCATGCCAGGAGCCAAACCCATTTTGACCAAGCCCAACACAGACACAAGTGACAGTGTGGGCAATAAAGCCTCCCTGGATCCATAACTTTGGGAGATTATTTGGATTTTCCTTTGTCCCACATCTCTGAGCTGCCCTTATGTCCCTGCTGTGCAGTGTGGGAGGTCTGAAGACCCACAGCAAGTGCTGCGAGAGCCCTTGGGCTGTCCCAGCTGTGCCACTGCAGGGGACATGCAGCCATCAGGTCAAAGCAGGGCACCACTTTGGGCCAGGGTGGAGAGGGCTGCTGGACCCCTCTGGCTGCTCAGGCCAGCACTGACCATCCTGCTCTGGTCTCCCCCTCTGACAGCAAAGTGTCCTCAGGGAGGAGGTTCTGGGGCTGTGCACATCCACCACAGCTCTATGGGCTTGTCTTTTTGACAGAGCTGGGCTTTGCAGGGCTGGTTTTCTCCTGGCTGCAGTTCTGCCAACTGTGAGATCAGAGGAGGATCTCTCAGGGGCAGGGAGTGACCATCAGGGCACTGCCAAATGTGTCTGATCTGAGCCCAGCCCTTCATTTCTCTGTTCCAAGGGAAAAACCATTCTGTGTGAACTGGCAATGACCAGAGTCCTTCCTCCTTCCCAGTTCGCAGCTGATATAAGGAACTTCACCTGATGAGAATCAACTGGAAAAAGTAGGTGGAGCAGAATGTTTTGACCGCCGTTTCCTTTGCACACTGAGACTCAGGATGTGCTGACTTCCCTTCCCCTCCCCCACTCAATTCTTGTAAGAGGCTCAAAGAAACGATACTGAAAGTGTTTTTACATGAGGCTGCAGCAGTTTAAGCACTAGGAAAGCAGACCTGTTTGGTTCTCTGCTTTTCCTAATTTTCTCTCTCCCTCAGCCCCTTTGTTTACCCCAGCTCTGGAGCACCCACGCAGCGGGACCAACGCGGGATCGAAGGACTGGTGATATTCTTTGTTCTCTTGCTCCCTTTTCCTCCTTTATCTCTCCCCTCCCTTGCTTTGTCTGCCATATTCTACACCGTACTCCATTTTGAAGGTTGCTGTGGGAATGGGAACTTGTGCAAGTGTGTTGTGGCTTGTGAGACTGAACCTTTGAGAAGGTTGTTGTGGGATCTAAGAGTTTACTGAAGTGCACTGCAAAAAAAATTAAGGGCATGTTTTGAGCAGTGTATTGCAAAGTGTTGATAGATAACATAGAGAAAAGAAATTCTGTTCCCCTGAAGTTGCTGGATAGAGATTAAAGACTAAGCAAAAAAGGTTAAGAGATTGAAAATATGCACACAGGATGATAAATGTGTCTGGAACCAATGGAGGATTAGATAAATGGAATTACAGTGGTTTTTTGACAAGTTAAGTAACAAGAGGCAACAGAACATGCCTAAGGAAATAGTCCAAGGAATGGTCACCTTTAATTCAAAGCAGGCAGTGAATAGGACCACCAGAGACCCCTCTCATGACTCTCCAGGACCATACAAGGACTTCCAGTTTGAGATGGATACATGGAAATAGTTCTAGGAGAGTGATGTTTATATATTAGATAATAAGTACATTGTAATGAATATGTTTGATCATAATGGGTAAATACCTTGTTGTCAATGCTCACCTCACACACTGACCAGAGATCCTCTGTGTGTCCAGTGCAGGTAAAGAATTCCTGCTTTCTAATGCTTCAAATCGTATTAGAAAGTTGATTTTCTGGGTGTTTTCAGTATGAGTGTAAACCTTGTTAGCCAACACTTTTCCAGTCTAAATTGTGTCTGGTTTCCAGAATTAAAGGTGATTGTGCCATGAAGTGTCGGGTTACAGAATATTGGCAGTGGTAACAGCAGAAAAACAGATCTTGAAATTCAGGCCTGTCTTCTTTCCTTGGGGCAGAGGAAGCTTTGGAATCACAAGTAAATACAAGTGATCACGAATAAAGTACGTAGACTGTAAGAAGAGTTTGTAACTACCTGTTCACACGAGATTAAAGGTGCACTGCTTGCTATTGAAAAAAATATTGCTTACCTAGTACCATAAAAGGCAATATTCTGTGACAAGATAATTGACTGGAGTGTACTGTAGTGTAGAATTATATCCAGGGTGATTTATGATATATAAGGAATTTACTACTGCACAATAAACGTCTTCACATACCAACGTGGAGTCTGTGCCTCAGTCATTGCAATAAAGCACAAGGGCTCCCTGACAGGGAAGCTTCATCTATAACCTCTCTGTCATTCACAAGGTAGGTGAGTTCATCATACAGCAATATCAAATTATTTAGGGAGGACTTTCCTGATAGCACATCCTTCCTAGGGCAGTGAGAAATACTTCAGACACAGTCTTTGAAGGGAGAAACTGCTGGGGAAAGTGACACCAAGAGACAAATGCAGAAGGAATCCAAGAGCTCTTCAGTTTACAAACGTGAGCTTCTGCAAAAGTAGGATCACTCCTATTTCAAGGTGATTTCACTCAAGTGTGTCTGTGGATTCCCAGGGAAAATCCTGCCTTCATTCCCTATGTAAGTGTCAAGAAATCAGTCTTAGAGAAAAACAATCCATGGTGTTCAGGCAGAGCCACACCCTGAGTTAATCCTTGATCATCTTTGATCCATGGATTGAACATGTGCAGACCATTCTTAATTGCCAGCAGGTAACGTCCTGGTTTAATTTGGAAATAAGGCACACTTGGTGGGCATTGAACAGGATCTCTGCANGCTGCCTTTGGTGCCCAGAGCTGGCTGTGCTGTCCCAGCACAACTTGGAAGGGGAGGGTGTAGAGCAGGAGAGAAGGGCAGAATTCCCATTCTGGAAACGGCTGTCGGGCCCACTGACCCACTTGGGGCTGGGCCTTGAAGCAAAGCAGTGCTGATGATAACGCTGAAAGTACCTTCTCAGTAAGCAAGGCTGGTTCCAAGTCTGGCCGCTTGGAACTCTTTGCTATTGGAAGCTGAAACAGAGTGAAGCTGCCTTGTTTTTACAGTAATTCAGGATAATGATAACTCCCAGAGCACCCAGGGATCAGTTGCACCTGCAGAAATGTGAATTAAGCTTAAAATTTCCCAGTTAGTTCCTTGAGTGATTGAGGTTGCCAATTCACACGCAGCAAAGGTCAGGTCATCATGGCATCATCTTTGTTTATCCATTAAATCATTGATCACCCATGCTCAATCCCAGAGCATTCACTGATCTTTGCAGATCTCACAGGTGTTGCAGAGTCAATGTCACCCAAACTCCATTTTCTCTCCTTCTGCTCTAACACTGATTCTTGCCCTCAGTTAATCTGTGTCCTCTTGTGTCTGTTTAGCAGAGCTGGACGTGAAGCCTTGGGGATGGAGGGACTCTGCCTTTGTTCATTTGTTGAATTGTTCAGGCTTATTTTCACGTCTTCTTTTGGAAAGCATTTGGCATGATTGGGAATGTAGTTTTGGTCTCCAAAGGGAAACTGATCATCTGCTTGACAGGGAGGTTTTTTTGGGGCTCTCGATGGATGACAGGAACATTTTGTAAAAGCTGGATGTAAAAAGATTGGGACATTTATCACAAGTAGTATCAGTGCTGCTAAACAAAGCGTGTGAGGTCTCAGCATGTTCTGGCTGGAATTCCTGGGTCAGATGTTCCTCTCTTGTTACATTTTCCATTTCTAAGCCTCCAGCAGCTGGGCCAGAGGGGAACAGGCTTCCACAAATCCTGTTTCATATCTGCCCCTTTTCAAATGTCTGGTTTAGAATGCCAACCCTAATAATATTGGTAGCAGCTCCTGAGAGCTCTTTCTAAGTGACTACAAAGCAGCCCACTCATCTCTAATCAGGGTTACCATGCTTCCCATATTAGCTCTTTAAATTAATGCCTCCAACAAAGTTTCACATGGATGTATGTGATCATTACCAGCAAAGCATGAATTTAGTGCTGATCCAAGTCCATGAAAACACCTGAAGAGCAGAAGCCGCAGAATGTAACATGACAGTTTCCAAAGTTCAGTGCCAGTTGCAGTTTGACATTCAATGCCCTGAGCCGTGTGTGTAGTTTATGGACATGTGGGTAATGTGCTTGGTGGAACTGAGGCTGTGGCCATGTCACCACAAAAGCTTTGGTTTCCTGAATTATGTGAGACTGTTGTGGTTTAACCCCAGATGGCCACTAAGTACCACACAGCAGCTCACTCACTCCCTGGCCCCTGTGTCTCCTTGGGTGAGGAGGAGGAGAATCGGAAAGAAAATTTTTGATTGAGAGAAGAACAGCTTAATAATTGAAAGAAAGTTAAAAAAAAAAAAAATTGTAATAAGGAGGATTGAAATGAAAAGGAGAGAGGGGGAGAAGGGAAGAGAGAGAGAGAGGGATAAAACCCAAGCGATGCCCAATACAATTGCTCGCCCCCCATTGACTGATGCCCAGGCTCTCCCTGAGCAGTGATCAGACCCCTTCCTGCCAGTTCACCAGCGTTTCTACACTGGCCATGACTTTCTGGTTTCTGGCATATCGCTCTGGCCAGTCCAGGTCACGTGTCCTGGCTCTGCTTCCTCCCAGATTCCCAGAGGCTCCAGGCTGGCAGAGCAAGAGACACTGCAAAGGCCTTGACTTGGGGTGAGCAACAACAGAAGCATCGATGTGTTATCAACATTATTCTCATCCTGAATTAAAACATTTCCAGGACCAGCTACAAGGAATAAAATTAAGTATATCCCAGCCAAAACCCGGCCAGAGACTTCACAGTGCATGTTTATCTTCATGTGCCATAAACAGAGATCAGAGCAACCAGCTCAGAGGAGAAAGCCTGCACTGTGGAGATCAGAGTGAAGATGAATTCCTATCCTGCTGGTCTGTGGGTGTCTTGGTTTTGAGACAATGTTTTCAGAGAAAAATGTTACAGAGAAACGTTTCCTCTGAAATGAAAATAAATTTGATAATTCTTTCCCCACCAACAAGAAATAGATACTGGGCAAAAAAAAAAGTGAAGAGAAAAAAAAAGTAATTTATTAACACAACACAGTGCCCACAGGACACAGATAAAGAGTAACCGTTAGATATTCAGAAAAACCCACCACGCGGCGCAGACAAGATGGCGCCTCCCGTCCCCGGGAAAAAAAAACAAAAGAGAAAACCCACGTGGCCTTTCCCGTAACAGTGGCAAAAAGAAAACCCAAAAAAAAAAACCTGTACCACAGTCCTTTCTTCCCTGTGGACGGATCAGAGGGCTCGGTGTGTTTCTGCTGCCAGCCCGGTTCGCTTCCGGAATCCCAGACGAGATGAAGCCGCGCGGCTTTTCTCCCAGCTGGAGGATGATCAGAGGAGACGCAGAGCGGGGTCTGTCTGAGGAGAGCTGCCGAAGTTAATAAACCTGAGCCAGCCGAAACTGTAACACTGTAACTGCGCTGCACTCCGCGAGCAGAAGCACTCCCACAGCGAGAAGCAGAGCGAGAGCTGAGCTGGAAAAAACCCCAGCTGCGTGGCAGCATCGGCTTTTAAACTGTCTGCCTCGCCTTCCCAGCAGCCCTTGCTCCTTCTTCCGGGTTACATTTAAAGATACAAACATCTTTTTGGGCGTATATGCCAACCGAAAAGGAATACAGAACAAAATTGGCAAAAAAATCAACCCAAGACAGTGGGGAATTGGATGAAATCCCTCCAGGAGTCCCCTGTGTCTCCTTAGCAAGGGAAGAGGGAGATTTTTGTGATTAAAACCCGGTGAATGGAGAATTTCCCCTGTCACTCCACTTGTGCTTCCCTGGCTGGTCAAACATAGCAGAGGTCTTCCCAGGACAAGAATTGATGCAGCATAAGGAATACTGATGTCTGCCTTGATCCACCACCACAGCTGTTCCAGCAGCATCTCATTTAGTAACAGCAGGCATAGCTGTGAGACCTGTAGGCTGCCTTGTCTAAAAGCAGGAATGTATCCAGACCCTGCAGTGCAGGGTGATTGACTCCTTGGAAGTCATCAGGATACCCCACCTTCTCTGCTCCTCAATAAACATGGAATATTTAACACTAATGCACTGACCCAGTGTCAAAGATATCACACCAAAAGTGTTTCCCTGGGGACTGAGATAAGGGCAGTCAGGCAATCTGGAAATGTCAAAGTGCACAGAGCGAGCCAGAGCAGGGCAGGATCTTTAGTGCAGTGCAACAAAGCCAAACCTAGTGAAGCTCCCTAAAGGATCTCAGCTTTGTGCTGAGCTGATGCACTGTCACTGTCACTGCCTGATGGTTCCCAGGGAGCTTCAGGACAGCAAGCGCCATGGATTGCACTTCCTCCAAACCTAGGCATGGGAGGGAAAACTGTTCCTTCTTCCTTTTCCCCCTTCTCAGAGCGTGGACAGAGAGACTGATGCAGCTCAGGCCANAGGACTTTCCTGATAGCACATCCTTCCTAGGGCAGTGAGAAATACTTCAGACACAGTCTTTGAAGGGAGAAACTGCTGGGGAAAGTGACACCAAGAGACAAATGCAGAAGGAATCCAAGAGCTCTTCAGTTTACAAACGTGAGCTTCTGCAAAAGTAGGATCACTCCTATTTCAAGGTGATTTCACTCAAGTGTGTCTGTGGATTCCCAGGGAAAATCCTGCCTTCATTCCCTATGTAAGTGTCAAGAAATCAGTCTTAGAGAAAAACAATCCATGGTGTTCAGGCAGAGCCACACCCTGAGTTAATCCTTGATCATCTTTGATCCATGGATTGAACATGTGCAGACCATTCTTAATTGCCAGCAGGTAACGTCCTGGTTTAATTTGGAAATAAGGCACACTTGGTGGGCATTGAACAGGATCTCTGCAATCCTCAAACTCTGCATGACATCAGACCTTCATTTGCACCCAATTGCCTACAACACCAGCAGAGAGCTCTCATAGAGCAGATGAGGTGTGACCTGCAGGCAGCAAAGTGACTTTTAGGCGCAGAAACAGCACATTTGAAATTCAGAACTGGATTCTTCTGTTCATTTTCCTTTCCTTCTGCAGGTGGAAATTTCTCTGGCAAGAGGAAAAATACCTGTCCCATGGCAGTGCTCACCTTTGCTGACTAAGGGAGGTGAGCTGCTCTCTGTTATTTCTTTCTCTCCTGGACAAGTGGTGAATGTGGTGCTGCTGTTGGGGTGGAAAGGAACCACTCTCTTCCCTTCATCCCAGCTGTGCACACAGGGCCCAGCAAGCTCCTCCCATCCCCCAGATCTCCTCAGGCAGGTGGCAAGAACAGGGAGCATCAGCAGCACAGCTGTTCCCAGCAGGGCTCAGAGAGGCACTGCAAGTTAGGGGAATGGTCATTTGGGGAAAAGCTGAGATATGGACTGGCCCTCTGCATCTGGTGTTTTTTTTCCCCAAGGATGGCTCTGCTGCTGCCTTTGGTGCCCAGAGCTGGCTGTGCTGTCCCAGCACAACTTGGAAGGGGAGGGTGTAGAGCAGGAGAGAAGGGCAGAATTCCCATTCTGGGAAGGGCTGTTGTGTCTGGGAAATCCTTGGGTCTGGGCCTTGAAGCAAAGTGGTGCTGATGATAACACTGGAAGTTCCTTCTCAGTAAGCAATGCTGGCTCCAAGTGTGGCCACTTGGAACTCTTCGCTGCTGGAAGTTGAAACTCTGTGAAACTGCCTTGATGTTAACTCAGGTTACTTAGGATTATGATAATCCCCATAGCACCCAGGGATCAGTTGCGCCTGTGGAAATGATAATAAGCTTAAAATTTCTAATTAGTATCTTGAATGTTTGAGGTTGCCAATTCATAAGCAGCAAAGCTCTGGTCATCATGACATCATCTTTGTTTATCCATTAAATCATTCATCTCATAATTCCAGACCATTCAATGATCTTTGCAGATCTCACAGGTGTTGCAAAGTCAATGTCAACCCAACTCCATTTACTCCTCTTCTGCTGTAACACCAATTATTGCCCTCAGTTAAACTGTGTCCCGTTGCGTGTTTAGCAATGCTGGTCATGAAGCCTCAGGGGAAGGAGAAACTCTCCCTTTTTATGGTATTTTTTTGTTAGGTTGAATTTTTCAGCCTTATTTTCACACATCTTCTTTTGAAATGTATTCAGCCTGGGTGGGAATGTGGTTATGGTTTCTGAAGGAGGAACTAATGACTTGTCAGACAGGGAGGTTTCTTTGGGGCTGTCTTTGGAGGGCAGGAAAATTCTTAGTCCACAGAGAGAGCCAGAGAAGTGCAGGATGTTTAGTGCAGTGCAGCAAAGCTGACCCTGGTGCAGCTCCCTAAAGGATTTCAGCTTTGTGCTGAGCTGATGCACTGTCACTCTGCAGCCTGAGGGTTCCCAGGGAGCCACAGCTTCAGGACAGCAAGTGCCATGGGTTGCCCTTCCTCCAAACCTAGGCATGGGAGGGGGAACTGTTCCTTCTTCCTTTTCCCCCTTCTCAGAGCGTGGACAGAGAGACTGATGCAGCTCAGGCCAGAGATTTAAGTTGCTGTGTTAATTAAGGTGTCCATCAAATTCCACAGCAGGCACTGGGGGCTGGTTGAGTTTTCCTCTCTTGCATCCCCTGTCACACCTTCCTGGGGCACACTGGACTGAGGGAAGTACCCACTATCTGCAGGGGTAATTGAGATCTCTGGAAAGGCTCAAGTTTTCTTGAGGTCTGAACTCAACTGTTCGAGCACTTGGCACCTTCAGAAGTTGCAGGTGGTGGCAAGTGCCCGGCAAGAGAGATGAGAGGGGCTTGGGCCACGATTTCCCTTCTTTGCTCACTTCCCCTCTGTGCCTGTTCCAGGTCAGCTRTGGAATTGTCCCACCCTGGGAGTGCAGCGATGGAGCAGAGGAGATGGCTCRTGTTGGCTCTGGCACTGCTTCTGGCCTTCCCTCTCTCAGGTAACACTTCCATGAGCTGCTCTGCTCCTTTCTGGGGCATTCCAGTTTGCAGATGATCACAAGTGCTGGAGCTGAGGGTCAAGGTGTCCTGAGCAGCCCTGATGTGAACTCCACAGGAGCCGGAGCTGCCCTGCCCCTGTGTTCTTGGGGAATCCAGCCCATTGCAGCCTCAGTTTCTCTGGCTTGGTGGAGCCAGGGGAGCCCCAAGCCAAGGCAGCTCTGCCCTGTCCAGCCCTGACCCAGTGCCAGGAGCATTTCCCTGCCTGCACGGGCACTTGGAACTGGCACAGCTGCCCCACTGCTCCTGGCACAGGGCTGCAAAGGAGCAAGGCTGGCTGGGAAGCTGCATGAAATGGCTCTGCACATACTTTTATGCTTTTTATTTTTCATTGTTCTTTGAAATAAACCCATCCTGTACAACTTGAATCATCCTGGTTTCTCCGTCTCCTCTAATACTTTAGGCTTTTAATTTTTCCAAATTACCGTTTTGCCGCAGAGAAAATAAGACTAATTGAAAGTGAAAGAGTGAATGCCTCAAAGCAAAATCAATTTCTATGTTATCGAAACTGAGAAAAAGATGTTACTACTTTCATCAAATCATCAATTATACATTCTAGGATTTTTGTACAAAACTGACAAATCCCCCTAGAAATCTCTTTGGATTTTATTTCTTCTCATTGCTTGGCTTTTTTCTCTGAAGTTCTAATTCTCATGGCCTTTAAGTGTATGAATAAAATGGTCAAATGACATGAGTGAATACTTGCAGCTTCCAGTTTTCCCCCATTATTTGTCCCTATCCTCTCTGTACTTCACACCAATATATTTTCTGATTGATTTCAACCAGATGCTCACTCACCTTTGGTTTCCACAGAAAATTTTATGCTCACCTCTCCCTCAAATGTACTTGGAATTGTCAGCCAGGGTACAATCCTTCCTTGCACCATTTCTTCCAACAAACCCCTGGACAACCCTAAAGTGCAATGGATAAAAGTCACAGATGGACACACAGAGAATATCTACACATATATGGGGCAGTTTGGGGGACAATCAGCACCAGAATATCGTGGGAGGACATCAATGCCAGGAGATGGATTTGCCACTGGGAACGTGTCCCTGACACTGAAGAATGTCCAGGCAGCAGATGAAGGGATTTACAGTTGCAGTGTGATATCCAGGGAGTGGAGCGCTGAAACAGCCACCAAGCTCAGCATTGCAGGTGGGAGAGACTCCCTGGGCTGGGTGGGGAAGGGGGAAAGCTCCCAGAGAGGGAAAGGAGCTCTCCCAAAGGTCACTGTCCCCCAGCTGATGCCCCCTCATAGGACCCAACACGTCACCTCCCCACTCCCAGCAGCCCGTGGGCCACATGGCACCTGACTTTTGATCCATGTCACACTGCATTTGTAAATCACTGAGAGATCTGTAAAGAGCCAAGGAAATTAAACCCATGTGGCACCACTCAGGAGGGAACCCAGGAACTGTGATCTCAGCAGCCCCAGGAGGGCCATGGCAGCCCTTGTTGGTTTAGGCCAGGAAGGAGCTCTAAACCTGAATGCTCCAGGAGACCCAGAGCCTGGACTGCACATTGGAAGGCAGSWRC